TCCGTTCGAAGTTCGTGAAAAAAGAAAAGTGTATAAAGAATTGATTTCAACCTTGCAGATCAACCAGATTCCATATTCCTGGAATTTCCCAGACGGTGTCGTGTTCAAATACAGAGATAAAAGGGAAAAAATTGACTCGGTTTTTAAAGCAGAAGAATGGCTGAAGCGGTTCTTTGGAGCGAAAGAAGAAGAACAGCAAGAAGGAGAGGGTGGAGCAGATACCATAGAAGACAGGGACGGAGACCAGGGAGCAACAGGTGGCGAGGCCAAACAAACATACGACCTGCGGCTTAGAGGACCAAAGTAACTCTTTATAAACTTGAGATTTGCAAACAAAGACGAAGATGAAAGAACTCTGAGCACACACAGAAGACGATGGAGAGAATACTAACACGGACTTACTAACTTCCGATTACATTGACTTAAACGAAAAGTTATTTGTCTTGAATACTAACAGGATACTAATTGTTGAGGACCCTCCCTCTTGGGTTTTTAGTTATAGTGTGGGTTTTTATTTACTGTCCTTTATCCTGGGTTAACTTTTCCCTTTCCCTTTTTCTTTTCTGTAGTCCTTAGGTGTAACAAGAAAATAATAATAAAGCTACCCTGTTCTCAGGGGATTAAAAAAAAAAGAAAGAACTAGTGCTGCCAGACTGAGTTATCTGTCTGACCTTGTGACAGGGGGAGGGCTTGCGTTCCACCGCTGGGGTGAATATTTCAGCTCTCATGGGGCACTTAGACTCTCCCGCTTATTATGTAACCTCCCGCCAGGAGAATTCCCGCCCACGCGCTCAGATTTCATTTGCTTAGCCATTTGCCTCATCCTGCTATATGTAGGGATGTTCCCGCCCTGTTGTCATTCCTAACAATAACCCTGTGGACATGGTAACAGACCTGTAGTCTAATAAAGCATAACGCTTCCCTGGAAACGTGTGGAGATTTATTTGCTGTTGAACCTGACACCTCCATGAGATCTCGAATTCATCTAAATGCTAAAACGAGTGACCATTTAAATGTCAGTTTTATAAATGCGGTAGCAGAGCTCCGCCTATGTGCGTACCGTCAACACATTAAAAAAAATGGGCGAAAAGCGGAAGCCTCAGGCAGCTTTTGAGCAGGGAGGGGGTTTAAACTGGAAGTTGCTTGACACCAGAGGAGCAATCACACAGGGGAAAAATGCGGCTTTAAACGGGAGAACTGAGAAAACACCACTTGGGGCCTGGTAACAAAATACTCCAGTTTCAAGGGGGCTTTGAGCTGGAAACCAACGGCTGGGGACGGGATGCAGATGTTGACTGTGTGATTGTGCATATAAAATCCGTTGCTGAACAGCCATGACACAAGATCAAGGCGCGTCTGAACGCACCCTCAGTCACCTTTCCCTCCTTAACTTCACTGCTTGAGCAGAACAGGTCTTATTGCAGGGACGGGGGGGGGGTCATCTACGGGACTTCATTGGAACCGTATCTCAGCTCAACAGCATTTGGAAGCTGCTGCTGAGTCAAACCTGTTCACACGTGTCTGGGATCAAGCACGAGAAACTGCAGAGCAGGCCTTTCTAAGTAAACACTTCAATATTTATAGCCCTCTTTTCTCCTCAGCGAGGAACCCAAAGCGTCTTGACAACTCATTTGCCCTTCCATTTTATCCTCTCAACAACAACCCTGCGAGGTAGGTTAGGCTGCATATATGTGCCTGGCTCGAGAAGAAAGAAGAAGAGTAGGTTTTCATTCCCTGCTTTTTTCTACCTTAAAGAGTGTCATGGCTCAGGTGGGGTGTCACTTGACGCTGCCACCACTCTGAATTTAGGATCCCTTGAGAAGGCCCAGAGCACCCTCCCAAGACCTTCAGACCTCCCTTTTGGCTGAATAATAGGCATGAGGACTAGGCAGAGTGAACAATAAAAATAGTTTATTTTATAAGAGGTCAAACAAACAAGGTGCAGAAATATAACAGTAAGTGGGTGAAAAGAAATCAAATGCCCTAACGCAGCTGTAGCTAGGGCATATACTGTCCCTAGCTCACTATTCCAAGTGGCACTAGACTAATAACCCTTCCCTCAAGCTGAGGATCTCTCCCCCACAGCAGCCTCAGTCCCTTCTGGCTCTGTCTCCTGGGAAGAAGAACAGCTTTTCCTGCTGCTCCAGATCTTTTATTCCAATCCTTCCTCTTTTCCTATTGGTCAATTTTGGCTCCAAAACCTCTCAGGGGCTTCTGGCAGCTGTAGGCCGAGCCTCACCTACTGCTATCCAGGCTCCCTGGGCCTAGTAGGCCTCTGGTGGCACAGCCCAGATCATGACAAAGAGTCTCAAAGTGGCTTACAACCACATTCCCTCCCTCTCCCCACGACAGGCACCTTGTGTTGTAGGTGGGGCGAAGAGGCCACCCAGCAGGCTTCATGGGGAGGAGTGGGGAATCAAATCCAGGTCTCCTGATTAAAGTCTGCCACTCTTAACCACGGCACCCCGCTGGGTCTCTCAAGGTCAGCACTTTAAGCACTACACCCCAATACACCATTAACCCTTAAACAAAATTCCCCAGGAAAGCTTCCTTTCCGAAAAAGGACCGCATAAAGTTGCGAAAAACAGCCCTTTTAAGGCCACGCGTGTTGTGATTTTTATTAGAGCCGAACTGGTAGGCCTTGGTCTCTTGACAGCACCTGTGGCTTCCGAGGTTGCCGGGGCTTTTGAGGTTAGGGGCAGGAGCACTCCATCTGGCTGAAGAAATGTGCCCAGCTGTCCTCGTTCCGTCACTTAACCTCGCTGTGCTCGGCTCTCTCCCACTGACCCACCGACATGTCGAATGCTCTGAAATCCAGGAAGGAAGGTGACACTGCAGAGACACAGTATAGTTTTGCAGCTAGATTAAAAATATTCCTTTCTATTTATAGGCCAGGCTAGGCCGGGTTCTCGTGAACCAGCACATGTGTGTCTTTGTGAGGGTGTCGAGAGGGTGCATTTAGGCTACTGGGAGGGTGGAAATCCGGGCTACCTTCTTGCTTTGAAACATGTCAAAGGACACGTTTGTGTTCACCTCTTCCACTCTGCGCTCTCTCCGTTTGCAACGGGAAATGCTGGAATGGGAAGACCGGCGGAGAGCAGCGTCTCGGCAGTACGCGAGTCGGAGGTACCAGCTGGCTTCTCGGAGCCCCCTTTCCCTTCCCAGGCCCTCCCGCCGCATCCAGTATTGTCGAGACCCTGCCGTTCACAACGCCCTCTACACAGGAGATGTGCCAAGAGTCCAAAGTATCTTTAAGGACGAAACAACAGCTGACGTGATCGTGGAGACGATCAGCGAGGAGCTGGTGTGGTCCGCAGAGATGGGTAAGATAAAGTGCTCAGAGCGGGAGGAACTTGGCTTGGGTCGCTTGGCTTAATTCCGTCTGATCTGGTTTGGCAGCGGCCCTTGCGGAAGAGGGTTTTAGGACCGTGGCCGGTTGCAAGTGGAACGCGGGTCAGCAGCGTGATGGCGGATCCAAAAATGGGAATGCAGTTTTAGGTGGCGTTAGTAAACACTCAGTATCCAAGTCACAAGAAGGAATAGTTTTGCTCAGTTCTGGATTAGTCAGACTTCAGTTGTGTCTGATGTTACGATGAGCCACACTTTAAGAAAGTTGCAGAGGAACTGGAGCAGTTTCATAGAAAGAAGATGGATGGGGGGGTCTGGAAAACAGGTCCTATCAGGAAAGGCTGAAGGAAGTTGGGTACGTTTAGCCAGCACAAGACTGAATGGAGACGTGATTGCTCTCTTTAAATACATGGAAGGGCTGTGCCAGGAAAGACGGCCATCTCTCATTCTGAGCTTCTCCATACCACAGGGCAAAACTAGGTCTAGTGAGCTGAAGTTAGAGGAGGACAGAATCTGGGGGAATGTTAGGAGAAACCTCCTAATGGTAAGAAATGGTTTAACAATGGAACCAGCTGCCTGGGGGTGGACACCCCCCCCCTCACTGGAGGTTAGGGTTGCTAGGTCCCTTCTGGCAACCGGTGGAGGATGGGGGGAATTACCTGGAGACAAAGACCCAGGCCTTGTTGTTAGTTGGCGTCGCACAGGAATTGGCATCATCATACTGGCAACATCCAGGTGACACTACGGTATTTGGGCAAAAACTCTATGGTAAAACCGGCTTCTACCATAGAGTTTTTGCCCAAATACCAGATGCTGCTGGTGTGATAATGTCATTTCCTGTGCAATGTGGGCAATGAGGCCTGGGCCTGTCTCTTTCTCTGAGTTAGTCCCCTCACCAGCCAATTGACCAGCAGCTGGGGGGCAAGGCCTGGTAGCGGGGGATCCCTGCCTCCGCTGGGGGTTCTGGCAACGCTACCAGAGGTCCTTAAGCAGAGGTTGAGAGACCCATGCAATGGGGATGCTTTCCATTTCCCTCACTGAACAGAGGGTGGGACTTGAAAGCCTACTAGGCCCCTTCCAGCTCTAGAACTATGTGACTTGCAGTTTGGCCTATGTTCTTTTTTGATGGGGGTCTTTTTGGCAAGAAATCAGTTTATGGAAGGAGGAAGTTTCTGCGCATAGAAACTCCAGACTGTAAAGAAAAAACTGAGCATTGGGGAGGTATTTAAATTTGTATTTCTGTCTTTTTAACACAGAAGAGGAAAGAAGCCAACCAGGGAGTGATTATAGAGCCTTACAAAATTAAGGAGCTATTTTATACACAACAGATAGTAAATGTTTTACAGCAGGGGTCGTCAACATGGTGCGCATGGATGCCGCGGTGCCTGTCAACACTTTTCCTGGCACATGCCAAGTGTTTTTAGAAAGTGGGTGGGACCAAGTAGTATCCGAAGGACAGCTTCCTCCATCATCGCCCTGCTTGCCAGTTAAGATCTTTGTCTCAAGACCTGGCTCTCCCACAGAAATGAAGTGAGAAGCGACTAGAAATGAGGTTTTCTCAGTAGTGGCACCCTGTCTTTGGACTGGAATGCCCTCTCCCTAGAGCTTTGTCAAATGCAGGGGTTCCCAACTTTTTTGAAACTGCAGGCACCTTTGGACTTCTGACATAGTGTGGTGGGCACAGCCTCAAAATGGCTGCCACCGCAGATGGAGACAGCCACAAAATGGCTGCCGCAGCTCATCTTCGGTCACATTGTGGTGGCAGCTGCTGCCAAAGCAACATTTGAAATAATCTGCACGGCCAATCAGATCCTCAATGGCCAATCAGAAGCCTTGATGGGGAAAAGCCCCATCTGGCCGGAACCCACTTTCTAAAAACACTTGACAGGCCCCAGAAAGTGGGCACCATGTTGGGGACCCCTGAATTATGTCTCTTCCATTGACATTTTGGTTGAAGGCTAAAAACTCTGCTTAATTACACTGGATATTTTAATATCTTTTATGAATTCTATGAGCTGTATTCGGCTTGTTTTATGCCTGTTTTTTCCTGTTCTTTTATGCTGTTTTCTCTGCTTATATATTTGATCGTTTGATGGACAGAGATGGTTTTGTCCCCGGCTGGGTGTGTTTCAGTTTTAATTATTTGTCCGAATCCACGTCGAGCCATTTCTGGAGAAGGGGCGCACAGAATAAATACGACTTGCCCTTCCTAACTTCGTTTCCTCTCCTACCTGCCTCTTCCTCGATTTTGCAGGGCTGTGGGTGTTGACCCCCCAGAAGAAGCATACCTCTCCACTGAGTATTACAGCTGCTAGAGGCTACCGGGACTGTGTGAAGCATCTGCTGCTCCAAGGGGCTCAGGTGGATGCCATGGTTGGTGGGCGAGCCGCTCTCCATGAGAGCTGTGCCAGCCACCGGGCAGAGTGCACCCGCCTGCTCCTCGGATATGGTGCCAATCCGAACATTTTTTCAGAGGAAGGCTTGGCTCCGCTGCACTTGTGCACCACCCAGGAGACTTTGCCGTATGTTTGGAAAGGGTCTTTTTTTTTGGGGGGGGGGATACAGGAGGAAAAGGCCTCGTATGGCTTGAAGGGAAGTTCAAGAGGAAAGGTTGTGGTACTGCATCGTAACTGAATGCATATTGTTGCTCTTCGTGAATCTAAGGGCTCCATCGTTCAGTCACTCAAGGGCTCCACTCTTCATCCAGTGCTAAATTAAACGCAGTTTTTGCTTCCTGGATAAATGACGTGGAAACGATGTGGACATGAGGTTAAAAATAAATAAATAAATAAATAAAATGAGCCTGAGCAATAACAATTCCACTATGTTGGATCCCCAAGCATCGCCGGTTTTGATATTATGGCTAAGAGCTGTTTGGGGAGTAACTTCAAAACGCATAGGAACAAAGGAAAGTCCAATTTGGAAGATTTGTGATCCCTGGAGGAAATGGCAGACTGTCTTGATGGCATCTCATCTGTACTGAGCTCCCCCCCTTCCCCGGAAGGCATTGCCCCCAAATCTCTAGGGACCTCCCACGCCAGAGCTGACAAGCCAACTAGTCCCGCGGGGCAAGGGCCAGGGAGCTCCCTCTGAATCCTTGGAACTCCCACTCAGCCATCCTTCCTGATTGGCCGAGATTTCAGTAGATATCCCTGTTATATCGCAGCTGTAGGTAGGAAATGCTGCTGTTAATAACAATAAATAGCTCACATTTTTAGAACGCCGAATTCTGTTAGTTGTAGCGTTGCCAAGTCATTTTCGAGCCCCAGCGAGGGACTCCCTTTCGGCGTCTGGAGCACGTGCGCACACGTCCCCCCGGAAGTCCGACGCCGGGCCCACTGGGGGCGGGGGCACGACCATCCAAGGGAAAAACATAGAGTTTTCCCTCGGATGACTGTGGCCCCGCCCCCCAGCGTGCCCGGCATCGTCACATCACTTCCAGGTGACGTGCATGTCGGGGTGGGGTTCCCCCCGGGACCCGATCCACCGGCGGCATGGAACGGGCCTCTGGGGCGGGGGTTTCCCCGCCCCCCAGGGGGACTTGGCAAGCCTAGTTGGTTAAGCTTCTGCAGAATCATGACATAGCCCTTTGCCCATAAAAATAATAATAACTCAGATGGCAGAAGGCTTAGCATGACCTGCTGGGTCTAGGGCTCCCTTAATAAGTTTGCCAGGGGCAGATTAACCCTTAAACAGACTAAGCAGGTGCTTAGGGCACCAGGGCCAAAGGGGGCACCACGAAGTTGGGGAAATGATGAAAAGAACTGTATGTAGCCCGAGCTTGGCTTAGTTTGTACAGTATATTGTGTTATCCTATGAATAAATTTTTGTATTGCTGCAACCTGCATTGTACATCTGGCCAGACAGGTCAACAACCACTAAAATGGACGGGGTCAGTGTGGAAAGGAGGGAGGCACCAAGATGGGTCAGTGCTTAGGGCACCAGTGAGCCTTCATCCGCCCCTGGAGGTTCCCATCTAGGGATGCCAGCCTCCAGGTGGGACCTGGGGATCCCCTGGAATTACTACTCATCTCCAGACTACAGAGATCAGTCCCCCTGGAGAAAACGGATGCACTGGAGGGGGCAGGGGGCAGACTCTATGGCATTGTACCCCACTGAGGTCCCCGTCCTCCTCAGGCTCCACCTTCAGATCTCCAGGAGTTCCCTGACCTGGATCTGGCAGCCCCACACTCCCATCCCCTGCTGAAAGCCAGAGAGAACCTGACAACCCTCTTGCCATAGGCAACCAGGAATCTCTTTGCAATGAGCAGGGGTCATTCCATAGAAAAAGAGGTGCAGGAGCTCATTAGCATAACTCATTAGCACAACTTAT